AGAGAGAATCCAGGTTTATCCTGGGTGGCTTTTCCAGTAAGAAGTTGAAGTCTGTCTGTAATAAATTGAGTAATTATTTTTTGATAATAAAGAGTTTGAATATGGTTTGAATTGAAGATCTATTTTTTCTGAGAAATATGAATTTAATCCAATTTCTTCAATTAGATTTCATATCTAGATTTTACTATCTGAAAAGATGATACTCTAAACTGTCCTTAAGACAGCCTGAGAACATTTTTGTTTTCATGTATGCTGGTAAGACACACTAATTTTCTACTTATTTGTCTCCATACTTTACGATAAGTTTTCTGGCCCACATTGTGATATTACTGCCTCAAAATAATGTTTAAATAAGTGCATGCCCTCATTCATGTTTCCTATGCATGTGGCAGCAGCATGTGAGTGAATTTTAGAAGATTTAGTGTTTGTGTCTGCTTATTTTGTACCTAAGTGCATTATATGCATAATTTGGTTCTTATTCTTTGAGTTTGGAGGTTGGGTTTAGTAGTTATTTTTAGAGCATTTAAGCTATAATTGCTTTTGTAAAATTATGTTTTCCTTTCTTTGATGGCAGGTGTACACACCAACACTAATTCGATTTGAAAATTCTGGGGGTTTAGTTGGAAACTCTCCAGCAGAAGTATCTAAAGGTAATTTAAATATAAATCATATTCAACAACTGGGAATTTGAGGTCAATTAAATGAATAAGTTATGAAGTTTGGTTTTATGCTTTGTGGTTTCTTCCATGTATGAATTTCATTTTGTAGTTTAAGGTTTCTGAGGCTAGGGTGAATGGATCCTCTCAATGTTAAGCTGTAGAAAACATCAAAAGCCTGGCATGTGGGCTTAGATGAGCACATGGCTCCACAAGTTGGCATGAAGTTGATTCTATTGAAAATTGATTGTCTGGACCTTTTTCATTCAAGTTGTAAAGGATTCACTAAGAATAGTACTTATTGCAAAGGAAATGTAAAACCATGTCAAGAACCATCTTCAGGGAATCTGTCTTATTATACCAAAAGTGTGGTCATGGTGTGGGAAGGGATGGCAAGTAGAGGTTCATGATGTTGTTAATAATTGGCATTACAGAAACTTGTAGCTGTTACATTGCTTTGCATCACTATTTAGATAAAAATGATTCTAGCTTTATATCACACAATGGTAGGTTCTATCCTCTGACATCTCCTGAATCTTTGCTTTGCAAATTTCCAGCAATGGTGGCAAGCTTTTTCCATATGTATGTTTGTTGCTTTGCTTCAATAATATTGAGGCAATGTCTTTGTGACTGCCAATATATATTTGTTCCTTTTTAATGTGTTTCAAAGTTTGATTTCTGTCATACTTGGACTTAAAACTTCTGTGCTGTGTAGACATAGGAAAGTTTCCAATTTGTGTGTGAATAATGTTTAGCTTTAGTTTTGATTATCATTATTAATTTTTCTTACTTCATGTGCATGTTCTTTTGATCCGTTTGTGAAGTAGTTTTTATATTTTATATGTTACATAACATCTTTTACAGCTCAAAGGTGTGCTCTGTGACCTTTGATACCATTTTCATCTTTTAAATGGATGTGAGAACAGAAAAAAATATTTCAAACTGGATTTTCATGAGTAAATGACTCTTTTGAATTTCTTTGAGCATCATAAAAACACTCTTTGCTAAGAAATACTTGTGTCTCTTTGCACCTCCAGATGTTGATGTGCTTGTTGTAATGGTCACTAATGAAGCTCAAGCAGAGAGTGTTTTATATGGAGATCTTGGCGCTGTGTCAGGTATATATTATTTAGCTGTCTACAAGTTGTGGGCTTTACCAACTTTTAACTTTTCTGTGTTTGGTAGCCCTTCCATCCGGAGCAACTATCGTTCTGTCATCCACTGTCTCCCCTGCATTTGTGACCCAACTAGAGCGACGCTTGCAGAGTAAGTCTTTGACTTTTAATGCTCACGCAGGACAGAATTCTTTGTTTTTACCTAGAATTCACATATTGGTTATTTTGTTGATAAGAATGTCATTTTGTGGCTGCTCTTTTAGACATTCTTTGAAGTTTCTAGACAAAGTTTGAAAGTGTTGAAACTTTAATTATAGTGATGCATGACTTAGCATTCGAAAAGCTTAGGTACCTTTTACTAGTTCTTACTTTCAAAGTAATAAAAAATGAAATTTAAACTGAAATTCATAACTGACAAGGGACAACATATTTAGCACGGTACAACTAAAACAGAAAGCTTTTTTGGTTTGGCCAGCAAACTGAAAACCTGTTTATTTTAATTACTTTTTATCTTTTTCTCCTGCTTGTAAGGTTCTAATATTCTTGAAAGAATTATATTTTATGATCATTTTTAAAATTATATAAGTATAAATAAATAAACTTCTAGATATTAAATAATATGTTGAATTTTTTTTACTAAATAGTAAACAATTCACTCATGTTATTATTATTTATTATTTTTGTTTTATTTATATTTTTTTGTCATTATAAAAAAATATATTTTATATTTATATTTAATATGTTGTAACTCTAGAATGCACGCATGCATTGCCAAAATCTAGAGGGATTTCTTATGATTTCTTGTTTAGGCTTTTAAATTCACAATATTTATAATTCTGTTATGATTCTGAACATGTGAAAATTTATCGGCAAATGTCACAGATGAAGGCAAGGATTTGAAATTGGTGGATGCTCCTGTTTCTGGTGGAGTTAAGAGAGCTGCCTCTGGAGAACTTACAGTAAGAAAATGCAACTTTTACAGTTTAAGTTCTGTTGTGCTTTAATTTCAATCCTAGGATGATGATGTATTTTCTGAAACAGTGGTGTTTTCTTGATAGAGCTGTGGATGTTTGATATTTAATGTATCGGTTGGAGTACCCATAGTACTCCCATTCGATAAAACTTTGATTCATCTAAAAGAACTTTTACTTTTGGAATGTCTAAGCTTCATGTTTTTATCAGATAATGGCTTCAGGAACTGATGAAGCTCTTAAAAGTGCAGGTCTAGTCCTCTCAGGTAATGAGCCTTAAATATATAGCTTTAGCTGTCATGTGAAGGGATATCTATAATACACTAGAGCTGATTTGTGGCTCTTTACTGTGAACAGCATTAAGTGAGAAGCTTTATATCATCAAAGGAGGTTGTGGGGCAGGAAGGTACTTCTTAGCAAATGTTTCACCTTTTATTCATTATATTTTTATGTTCATGGGTAAGCCGATAAGTCTCACACATTACGAAAGCACAAAATTTATTTTTATAACATCTTAAATCTTTTTACAACAATGGATTTTTTTTTCTTTTTATTCCAGTGGTATAAAAATGGTTAATCAATTGCTTGCTGGAGTTCATATTGCATCATCAGCTGAGGCAATGGCTTTTGGAGCTCGTTTAGGTCTTGATACTAGAAAGTTGTTTGATGTTATCACTCATAGTGGGGGAACATCCTGGTAGGTTTCATGCTCCCAGCAATTAAGTGATATCATTTTCTTAAGGATTGCTTTCTATTAGTTTATCTCACTAAAAATAATTCAGACTTCGAATTTGAAAGTCTCAGACCTAATTGTTGTTTCTTCTTAACATACTTAATTACTTATAAAGCTCCTTTGTATCATTTGGTCTTTGTTTGTAGTGGAACCACCCTTTGGTCATGTGGGAAGCATAAAGCTTTAGCAGAGATGACTAATTCTATAATCTTATACTTATTTTTCTGCCCTTAATTTGACTTGGGTAGAATTCTTACCCTTGTACATACCTCCCTTGTACATACCTAGGTTAAAACATTTTGAATTGGAGTTGTGTCTACATCCTAATGCACTTTTGTTCTACATCATATCCTCATTTTAAAAACCAAACAAATGTTGAGACCATTTTTGTGGCCTCTTTAGAAGCAAAGGAATAGAATTTTTTTATTTAGTTTCAAAAGGTGTAGGTAATGCCTGTGAATTTGATTCTCTTGCAGGATGTTTGAGAATCGTGTTCCCCACATGTTGGATGATGATTATGCACCCTATTCAGCTCTTGATATCTTTGTGAAGGACCTGGTCAGATGTCACTACCTATACTTTCTTCTCAGTGAAAACAGTTTTTGTTTTTCTTTAGCAGTTTCTTACTTTGATAACAATGCTAATTATAATTGTGTATTGGTGTTCAGGGGATTGTTGCTCGTGAATGCTCTTCTCGTAAAGTTCCTCTTCACATTTCAACTGTTGCACTCCAACTTTTTCTGGCAGGTACAATCTGTCTGGCTTTAATCTTGTCCTTTTTTTTTTTTTTTGGGGAAGTCCTAACTCCAAATTTCAGATAGGTTTTGTTAAGGCCTGAAATAACTACGAGGTTAAAGTATCTCAGACTAACAGCATGTGATGCACACTATCTGAATCCTTTGAGTTTTCATTAAATTAAGAAGAAAAAAAAAAAGAGGGAAACAGGTATTCTCAGCCACATCCAATTGATTGGAATTAGTGCAATGATTTTCTCAAGTTCTAGAATAATTTTGATTTTATATGACTGTTTAAGTTACCATAGTTCTCTAACATGTATGGTAGGGGAAAAAGGTTACCAAAGATGTATCTTTTGAATTTAATCCAAAAGCTGAAGCTGAAAATGTGTATTTAACTTATCCTTTTGGTAATCTTTGATTACCTTATTGTAGGGAAAAAACTCCTGCCTACCATGCAGATAATTGAAACCAAAGATATACAAATTTATTCCTCAATTTGTTTACATGAAGAAAACATTTTTCCAGTCAGTCTGTGTAAACTCATTCTTTCATCTGGATTATCATTCCTTAATTAATACTTATAATGTTACTTTTGAAAGGGTCTGCTGCTGGGTGGGGTCGGATAGATGATGCTGCTGTGGTTAAGGTATGTGCATTTAATTTTATTCCATTTTCTTCAGCTCTTGAAGAAAGCAATTACCATGAACAGGGAAGGTAGGTCATTGTAAGTTCAAATTCTTTTTCTTGGTCAACCAATGGGAAGCAATTGAATTGCTGAATAAAGATCTCATGAAAGAAAAATCCTGCCCTATTGAGGGCTAAAAGAATAAAATAAAGTCTGGAGGTTCATATATTCATATATAGGAATTTCCTAATATTTCCTTTTTTATTGGACATTTAGTGTGGAAGATGCAGTGACTAATAGTAGTCAAAAGTATTGTTCTAATGCAACAAGGTCCCCTAATATCAAATATAATTGACACAATGCTTTAGAACCTGGTTAGTTTCCATTTCAACAATCTATAAATAGTTTTCTTTGTTAGTTTTTTCTTGTGTCTATCCCCTCTTAGGACCAATTTTGTAACAGTCCATTTCTTTGATAATATTCCATTTTTGGTTGGCAAAATGAAATGTTTTTATTAAAAATAAGTGGAATATAAAGCTACAGCTCTCTGAAATTAAATAGCAACAGAATACATGCAGTAGAGAATGGGTGCTGTATTCACATCACAAATGGAGTCTGAAACCAAACAATGGAATGGGAGGAAAATGAGCTATACAAAACTGATAGCCAACTGAGGGAAGAGCACTTACAAAGTAGACAATTTCATAAATAGAAGAGGATTTCCCTTCAAACAGTAATTGTTTCTAAAGAACCACAAAGATCAACAGTAGCACAAGTGCAGTGCAATCAATGCAGCTGTGATGAGGAAATGAAACGGTGTTTGGTTGATCATATATTTATAATTTTAACCTGCTTCATGATTATGTAGGTATATGAGACCCTTACTGGGGTTAAAGTTGAAGGAAAACTTCCATTTCTGAAGAAAGAAGTTACCTTGCAATCTCTTCCATCTGAGTGGCCAGTGGATCCCATTGATGATATACATAGGCTAAATCAGAAAAATTTGAAGACGCTGGTGGTTCTTGATGACGATCCAACTGGAACACAAACTGTTCATGATGTTGAGGTGTTAACAGAATGGTGAGTCTCATTCTTTTATGCAGTACACTTGTTTAGTGAAAATAAAAAACCTGGCGATCAAACATAATGTACAATCAAGCTCATAAATTTTCTTCACCAAGGCAGGGTAACTTTTATATTTTATTTTTTCAATCAAAATTAAGAATGTTATTTTAGTTTTTAGATTGTCACCATTTTCTGTAGCTATAACCCCCTCTTGGACCCTTGAGGGTGTCTCAATAGGTTAAGAACTTGAGATTTCAAGTTGGAAATCTCAAGTTTGAATTTTGAGGCAGATGTGGAGGGATAAGGGAAGGGATGGGCTCTCCCTTATTGTATAGTCCATCATATGATGTACTGAAAAAAATAAACCCCACTTGGCTGTACCATTTATAAGAACATGGGAGTTTTAAGATGTACTACTCCTCTGGGTTTCTTCAATTCTACATTTCCTGTTGCAGGAGTGTTGAGTCACTTGTTGAACAGTTCAGGAAAAAGCCCTTATGCTTCTTCATTTTGACTAATTCCAGGTCATTAAGCTCTGAGAAGGTAAAGAGCTTTCTTCAAATTTAAATCAATTCAATTCCTAGAATTTGTTTCCAATCAACAAATTGTTTCAAATCTATTCTCACTGATAAAAAATCTCTCAACCTATTTCTTGTCAAGAGATTTATGATTTTAAGTGATGCATTAACATTTTACAGGCTTCTGCTTTGATCAAAGATATCTGCACAAATCTCCTTACTGCATCTAAATCTGTTGAGATTGACTATACAGTGGTTTTGAGAGGTGATTCAACATTACGTGGTCATTTTCCAGAGGCAAGGACAGTGGAACTTAAGCAATTCTATAACTGCTTTCAATTGTGTCACAATAAGATGTCTACGCACAGTATGACATTAAACTATGTAATTTATGCAGGAGCCTGATGCAGCTGTTTCAGTACTGGGACAGATGGATGTGTGGATCATTTGCCCTTTCTTTCTTCAAGGAGGCCGTTATACAATAGGAGATGTACACTATGTTGCAGATTCTGATGGGTATTGTTGTCTTGAACTTCTATGTTATATGTCATGTGACTTCAAACTGAGTCACCAGTCTGCTTTTAGCCCCTTCTTTCCCATCCCCTCTAGAAAAAGAGGAAGGGAATACTGATATCTAGTGTTTCATCATGTTATCTGTAGGCTTGTTCCTGCAGGAGACACAGAGTTTGCCAAAGATGCCGCCTTTGGCTATAAATCTTCAAACCTTAAGGAGGTCTGGACTCTGGATTTCCTTTTTCTTGTCAGAACTACATTTTAGTTGATGTATATTCTCCTACAGACATCTGATTTAGTCTTGCATACTGCTTCACCTGAACATATTAGTGGGTGGAGGAGAAAACAGCAGGCCGCATACAAGCAAGCAGTGTTGCCTCCATTTCTATCCAACTGTTGAGGAAAGGTGGACCAAATGCTGTCTGTGAGCATCTTTGTAATCTGGAGAAGGTACGGCCTCTCTCTCATGTCTGTGTACCGTGTGTGCATGGGTGACAACTGTTCATGCATGAGCTTGCGTGCATGCCTACAAAAGTGCATGATGCTTACAATGTTTGGGCCATCTTTGTGTTTGCCTGTGTTTTTTTTTTTATCAGCAAAAGATAGTATTATTAAGTTAGAGTACAAGGGGTACTCCTACCTGTGTTTGCCTGTGTTAATCTTTGTGCATGTATTTATTATGGGTCTATTCAAAGTCATGGTTGAATTCAATGCACTGTCAGTTTTCATGCGCTTAACACCCTCATTTGGTCCCTTCTGGGACTACGTGTATGAACTTATGGGTCCATGTATCCGCACCAAAAATGTAAAGGGACCATTAAGGTGCCATTTTATGTTAGGGGATGAATTTTGTACAGTCACATAAGTTGAGGACCAATGAGTTGTTAAGCCAATTAAACACTATGATTTGCTTATTTATTTATTTATTTTTTGTGCTTATTTATTTATTTTTTTTTTGTGCTTATTTATTAACTTTTCCATTGATGACTGGATTTTTACCAATTGCCACTGAAATGTTAGAAGTTAGATCTTGTTAATAATTAAAATGTGTCATTTTACAAAGAATCTCAACCACCCTAGCAGTTGGAATTTGGGTCCTGTCTTTCTAACTGCCAAGGTCAAGGTTTGAATCTTGGTATTTGCAGAAGTGCTGAGCTTTCTGCTGATGGTTTGGTCTCTCTGCTTTCAAGAAAAAAGAGTGTCATTTTAATAGCATAAAGTAGTAATAAATGAACGTTCTTCACTATCTACAACTCCACACTGCTTGCTGTTGAATTGAGCTTGTCCTTTTCATTGTTATAAACAACTGGCTCTTTTCTTTTTCGATTCCCTTGAAATTCTAGAAAATTGTATCTTCCCTTTATCCTAGAAGTTTGATTTTTCATGGCTGAATACATGTTAACATGAAGCTATGGTTCCATGGGAATACTGAGTAAGTCTCATATATGGAGAAAAACCACTACGGATATGTAAGTTGCATTTAATTCTTTAAGAGAAAGATTACTTGGATGATGTAGACATATCTCAACTGTGATGTCTAACATTGATCTTACCATATTTTATGTCGGCACAAGTTTCTTTTATACTTCCAAGAACACAGCTTTAGAAATCACAAGATATGTCCACAATTATCTGATACGGGGGAGGATCTGTTATTGTATCTTATACCCTTCTATTTAATTTTCCTTATTGATGAAACCATAAGATAAATTTTCATATAGATCTTGATCATTGTGTTTGAGGTGTTCACTTTGATTTGTTGCATTATGCAGGGGTCAACATGCATAGTTAATGCAGCTAGTGAAAGGGATATGGCTGTATTTGCTGCTGGAATGATTCAGGCAAGTGCCATCATGCTATATTATATTGGAGTTAATACCATTTTACTATTTGACAAAGGCATTTATGAGTTTTGTTTTATAATCTTATCCTCAATTGACAGGCAGAGTTGAAGGGGAAAACTTTCTTATGCCGTACTGCTGCTAGCTTTGTTTCTGCTCGGATTGGAATCATCCCAATACCACGAATCCTTCCAAAGGATCTTGGAATAAACAAAGAAAGAAATGGTGCACTCATTGTTGTAGGATCCTATGTTCCAAAAACAACAAAACAGGTTAACTTGGTCAATTCTGAAAGTTTATTTGACATTTTATCATGCTTACTGATGTTGATACACTGTGATTGATTTATGTTTTTGATATCCCCACAGGTTGAAGAGCTTCAATTGCAATATGGACATATGCTAAGAAGCATTGAGGTGAGAAAAAATAATTATATTTCTTTATTGTGGTTTTTATGGTTAAATATGACACTTACCACAGAAAAACATGAGAAATCCGAAGTTTTACTTTAAGTCCCTCATACGACTGGTTGATATAAGGTGTTGAAGTTTTTTTTTTATCATGAATAGGTGTCTGTTAATAGAGTTGCCATGAAGTCACAAGAAGAACGGGAGGAGGAAATTACTAAAACAGCTGAGATGGCATCTATTTACCTTGCAGCTCATAAGGACACTCTAATAATGAGCAGCAGAGAACTTGTCACTGGAAAAAGTTGGTCTCTTCTGTATTCATTTGTATTTAACTCAACATTTCTTATCCATATAATTCTTCAAGATGAATAATTTATGTAAATTGTTTTCATTTTTTTCTCCTAGGAAAGCCCCTCAATTGGTGGCTCCTAAGAGGGGTGGAAGCATGCATAAGTCCCTACTGGTTATTTCTAATACAAGAAAAATAAATAATAAAGTAACCATCTTGTTTGGACGAAAAGGGATTTGTTTTTCTCCTAAATATAATAAACAACAAAATTTTCTGTCTTTTTTGCAGCTGCTTCTGAGAGTTTGGAAATCAACTTCAAAGTGAGCTCTGCATTGGTTGAAATAGTCTGCCGGATAACTACAAGACCTCGTTATATACTTGCGAAGGTAGTTTAGTTTTTCAAATCCTTGGTATTGGTGACCATTACAGAAATAAAATAAAATGTTATTGGAGAATATCACTGCTTAACAGAGATATAAAATTTTGTGCTGTTTAACAAGCCTATCTTTTGTAGCTCAAAAGAGGGCCCTTCCTCTTTCTAATCTCAGGAAGGTTTTTGTCATTATTATCCTGGCCTTTAGATATGAACGATTGAAATGCTTTTAGCTTTGTCAAATCTTAAGTGTATCTTCCTCATGTTTGGTCATGCTTCCATAAAAGTTAATTATTGATTGTGGGAAATGTATTTCATTATTTAACTGTGTGGTTAGTTGTATACTGAAAGAGAAAAGCATTTTGTTTAGGGTGGGATTACCTCATCAGACCTTGCTACAAAAGCTCTAGAAGCAAAACGTGCCAAAGTAGTTGGACAAGCCCTTGCTGGTATCCCATTGTGGGAGCTGGGTTCTGAAAGCAGACACCCAGGAGTCCCTTACATTGTATTCCCAGGTAAAACTGTTGTTCTTTCTACAATCTGTATCAACTGTTTCTCTTGAAGGAGCCTTTATCCTGTAAATTTGCCTTTCATAGGTAATGTGGGAGATAGCAAAGCACTTGCAGAAGTAGTGAGATCTTGGGCTTGTCCAGTCAGACTTTCATCAACGAAAGAGATCCTTCTTGTAAGGATTATTAATCAAAATTTTATGCATAACTTCTTCCTCGGATATTAACAATATCATTTTCATAAAGAATGCAGAAAAGGGCGGATATGCTGTTGGAGCCTTCAATGTCTACAATTTGGAAGGAATTGAGGCAGTTGTTGCTGCTGCTGAGGAGGAACATAGTCCTGCTATTTTACAGGTAAGAAGCAGTGGGTTTGAAATTGCATTGAACATTTTATAGCTAGCTTGGACCCAGCTATTGTGTTGAGAGTTTCTTCATTTGTTTGACTTCAACATAAACCTGACAAATAATTGACAAAAGAAAAAAAAAACAGTAACAAAGTTGGTAGTTTCTCTGGTCATCAGGGTAAACAGTAAAAGGCATAATAGTTAAACATTAAGCAAGATGTAGTTGTTAATGAGTTGCGTGGTCAAGTATCACTGGTGAACTTTTTCTTCTTTTTTTTTTTTCTTTTTTACCATTTTCCTTTAATTCAAGTGTTAATGAAATATCCTTAGGGTCCATTATTATCATGCTTTTCTTTTACTATTCTAAACACCCCTACGTAGGACATGTGCCTCATGCAGTAATGCTTGATAACTTCTCCTTAGTTTTTCAAAAAAGAATTATATCATTAAGCATCTGATCATTGATTTTGACATGAAAATCCAAACACAGTTTTAAATGAGTCCTTAAATTTATTTATTTCTTTGGACTAGGTTTTGATACTTCTGAAAGGCTGTGTTTAGTATGAAAGTTCTTCCTATGTATAATTGTAATATCTTTGAATGATCCACCAATCTTCTAGTCATTTTCAACTGTATGGTAAATCAAGTTCTCCTAGGCTCTTTACCTAGTAAAGCAATTATGAAAACAGAGTGTGGCTGAAGAATGATGCTTTTCTGTCTAAACTGAAAAGGAAGGGAAAGGTGTTATGTGCTACAGTCAATTCTGGCTGTCATCTAAGCAACTTGAAAGGCCAAAATTAGTTTCTTATTAAGAAGCAGGTCATATAAGTTTCTTCTCTTGCACTTGTTTTTATGGCTTAATGAGTTAGGAAGTTAAACCTTCTTATATTCCAGCCATGGTATCTGACAATAATTAGTTGTAAACGAATGGTATATAGCCGTTTTGAGCAAGATAATACAATAGACTGCCCTTGACACATGGCTAGCTGCATGCTCTCAACTGTGAACTACCTACAGTGTTTTAATTTGTACATTTCTTAAGAAAGACTATTGTTGGGACTTTGACATTCTGACCTCACCACTTTTCTTCTTGTATTATAAATTGATTTATGGAATCATTTCCTAATTATGAGCCATTTTTTCATATATATTATTTTCATTTTTTAACAACCTGCTTGTTTTCCAGATTCATCCAGGTGCCTTTAAGCAAGCCGGCCTTCCCCTGGTTGCATGCTGTATATCTGCTGCTGAACAGGCTACTGTAAGTGGCATTTCAATCATTGGAGTTAAAATTTATAAGGACTCCAAATTTAGTATAGAGTTGTCATATAAATTAACAATTGTTTCATAGACACTGAACAGAACTTAATTATAGTTTTATCTAGTTCTACATGGAGATTGTTATTAGACATTTTTATAATTTTAACCTGACAGATGATTATCCATATGACAAAAACATAATCCTACTGGGGGTAATAAATATGTCTATGTGGCAGGTTCCAATTACCATTCACTTTGACCATGGAACTTCAAAGAAAGAGCTGGTTGAAGCTCTTGAGATGGTAAGTTAGCAGACTTTGAGGTTTCATGTATCTCTAGTTTGTCCTAACTAGTGAATAAAACTTCATTTTTGTGCCAATGAAAGGGCTTTGATTCAGTCATGGTGGATGCTTCACATCTTCCCTTCAAGGATAATATCTCATACACGAAGTACATATCTATTTTAGCCCATTCGAAAGGTATGCTAGTTGAGGCTGAACTAGGGAGGTTGTCTGGAACAGAGGATGATCTGACTGTTGCAGATTATGAAGCAAGGCTCACTGATGTCAATCAGGTAAGTGTACTTATTAATTACATTGGAATATCTTTCTTTCTATATTGCTAATTTTATCATATATGACTTCATGAGTTTCAGGCTGAAGAATTTATTAATGAGACTGGTATAGATGCCTTGGCAGTGTGTATTGGGAATGTTCATGGAAAATACCCTCCAAGTGGTCCAAATCTCAAACTTGATTTGCTTAAGGTCGAGCGTACTTTCTTAAATGTTTTCTTTTCTAGTTGTGTTCTTTGGATATTCTAACCTCTCCCTCTGTCTGTTTAGGATCTGCATGCCTTGAGCTCAAAGAAAGGAGTTTTTCTGGTGCTTCATGGGGCTTCTGGTCTGTCAAAGGAACTTATCAAGGTATGTTCCTCCAGGAGGTTATCAACAATGTGACACTATAAGTGTGGGTCATATCTTATCCTTGCTTTGTGCTGGATACAAAAGCGTAAAACCTAAAATGACACTCTTGGATCAAACTGGAGGCTGATTAATTAATATTGATGAACTTGTTCATGACTTTGGACAGGGATGCATAGAGCGGGGTGTGAGAAAGTTCAATGTGAACACTGAGGTGCGTAAGGCTTACATGGATGCTCTGAGCAATCCCAAGGGTGATCTGGTTCATGTAATGACATCTGCAAAAGAAGCCATGAAAGCCGTGGTTGCGGAGAAGATGCACTTGTTTGGGTCAGCTGGAAAAGCGTGATGATCTTTTACAAAATTATTTTGAACAGAATTTAGTTCCTGTTGTATCTTCGGAATAATGGGCAGTCTATAGCCTGAAAAACCAGAGTCATATAGATTTTTTAGATGTTAGTTGCACAACGGGAGGCAACTCTCTCATTTTTTATCATACTCTACTCGCATACTATATATGACTCAAATTTAAAATCTCTCATTTCTAACGTAAAGAAATTATCATTGAATTATTTAAGTTTTGATCAAAATCATATAATTTATTATATGTAAAAATAAGATAAACTAGAAGAGGAGGTCGTGGGTTGGTTACCCCTAAATTCTTGAGTTTAACTCATGTCAATAACTCTCTTTGTAGAGACAAGGAAATGGTTGTCGGATGGAAACGGTTTTCAGCTGAAGATTATTCCATGAGAATTGATCAAAAATATTAAATAACCAACCATCGTTGAAACAATATTATTAGTATTTGGGTTTCCACTCTGCATTTTTTTTTTTTTTTTTGAACAATTTTCAATGGATGGGAAAGGAATTTCTGGAGAGTTCGAACATTTAATTTGGGATGGTATTTCCATTAACACTCAAGTAATAAATCACTTATCCCAAACGTAAGCAACGATTTTTTACTCTGCATTTGGTTTAGTTATTATTTACAATTGATATTCGTCGTTTTATAATAACCATTTTTCGGATCTGAACACTTGAAAGAGTTTTCGACTGTACTTCGATTGCACCAAACTATAAGTTGGAATTGTTAAATAGACTAGATGTCAAGAGACCTGTGTTTTGTTCAATAATATATGTCATTTAGTATAAGATTTACAATATATTTTTGCACTTTTGCACCCACATGAAGTAGATTTCGGCCATTAAAAATTCAAGATGATGTGGCAAAGTATTGGTGAAAAAATATTCGAAGAGAATGCTGTAACGGAACTTTCCTCGTGATTTAATGGGTGGATCATACTACTTCAAAGAGTAATAAGTG